AGAGCATGCACAAAAGGGGAAGAAATGTTTTCAGATAATTTTCCTTCTAAAGATAGACAGGCAGAAGAATGAGGGTCAGTCAAGAATATTAAGTTTTAAACTTAAGAAGGAACAAATATTAAAAATAAAGCCCCAGCAATGAAAGGAGAAATAAAATATCTTCCCTCTGACTTTTGGCTCAGCTGTATAGAAGAGTTGCCATCTGTTTCTATGAGTTAGACATTCCTTCTCCCTCCTCTGTCCTGTGCTTCCTAAGCTGCTGTGATTGCCTGTAACATCTACACACGGTGCCAGGGAGCGCAGTATAGGCAATAAGCAGCAGAGATTTCTCTAGTTGTGCTATCTGACATCTGCTGTCTGACAGCTACCTTAATGAATATGGTCTGGCATATTATAGGGAGATGGTTTTGAATGAGTAATCCCATTAAAAAACAGAAATTTGATTGTGAAGGGACCAGATATAGTGAATAAAAGTTTGTTTGCTTTTAAATAAAAGTTGACTGTTCTTTATAAGTGGGGCAGAATGGGATGACACAAGAATATTTGAAGACCTTTCAGTTACTATTGGAACCTGTTAATAGCAATGTTACACAGAGGATTGAATTTTAGTCTCAATCAGATCTTTGTAAAACAAAAACATCTTTTTTTGCCTGCCGTGAACTAGCTTTGGAATCATACTAGCACAGCTGGATTCCCAGACTCAGTAGCCCCAAGACTACTACAAGCCTAAAGTGAAGCACATGTGGATGGAGTGGGGGTGGGGGGGAGGGGTGGTATTTGGTTTGGTTGTTGGAATTTTTTTGGGTAACAGCCTAAAAGTAGGCTCTGACCCACAGTTTTGGAGACGTCTGCTCATAGATCTTTCTGCTTTAGAGGAGATAGCTTCCTTGCTGTATATGCTCTGCTGTGTCTGTGTTTGTGCTGGATCTCCTGCGATCTATAACACAGAAATCATACTTGATCACAGCAGGCAGTCATCTAGGCCAGGATCCTGATTTTGATGGTACTGCATCACCTGCTCCAGGAGAAGGTAGAAAATTGCTTGTGATGAATGACTACAGAGTAACCTGTCTTCAGGGGAATTTCTTGTTTACTAATCCCATCAATTAGTGTTGGGTTTATGCCTTGAAGCAGAAAGATTAATATCTCTTGTATAATATATCTTGTCTACTGCATCTGCTTCTATTCTCATTAGCTATAGTAAGGCATAATCCTTTTGTTTTAAAATGGAAATTAGAAACAGCAAGAAATAAGAAAAGATCTGTCAAGAGATTTTTTTGTTCCTTTTTCCTGTCAGTTGTCATAGGGTATGTCTGCTGTATGTGTCATTGCGTGGTTTAGCCTCCTTCCTCTGGGTTTCAGGTGTTTATTTGTGAGATCTTGCTATGGTCCCTAAACACCCTGCTACCTGCAGTCAAGTTAGAGCTGGATAGGAAAGGGAATATCACCTCAGCGTGCTCTGACATGCCTTGTCCCATGCAGCCCCAGAAATCAGATTTGCTTTTTGCCACTGTGTCACATTAAAAGTTGATGCCTGTGGTGTTGCAGTAAGCTCACCTGAGATCTTTTTCATTTTTATTGCTTTTCTTTGCTACTAAATCACTATGTTTGGAACTTGTTTTGCTCTGGAAGCATGAGCTGCTGTATAATTTATAGGATTTTATTTCCTACCCATATTTTTACCCTCTCCGGCTCTTTTGCATTGTTTTCCAGCATTCATTGTTACTTGCAATGATTCCTTATTTACTGTTATCTGTAAATTCGATGATTGCTGTGCTATATATATTGCCTTCTACGTTGTGAGTAGAAATCCTCCCTCACAGTAGTCAGGGAGAGGTTTAGCACTGACTTTAATAGAGCTGGAATTACACACCTCTTCGATGACACTGACTCCTATTTCACTCCACTTGACAACCTCCCTGTAATTCATTATATCTCAGTTTTTAAAGGCTTAAAGTAGTTAGGTCACTTACAGTCCCCAAATTGGTGGAGAGCGGAGGTGGGTCGGTATCTGCATGACGTTGGGTGGTGGAGGAGAGTCGTTGGGACCCAGTACTCCATAACTTTGTGGTGCCAGACTCAGGTGCATGTCTGGTTGGCAACTGGGGACTGCAAAGCCAGCCACCCTCACAGCAGGCCCGTTTTTCTACTCTTCACTCATCAGAGTGTCCTGTGTCATAGACATCCCATCCAGGAGCATGCATATCTCATCCCCTTGGCAATAAATCTCATAAGTCTGGTGACAATTATGCTGTTTACCAATTGGGAGGAAAAGTTCTAAGCCTTTCTATTTTTCCCATGTCCTTTTTATGCTTGTATCCACTTCCCATTTCACTTGCTGACTGTGCAGTCTGGAGCGCCTCCCAATTTTGTGCTCTGCATCATTTTTTTATATTTGTGCTAATCAGATATAAAACGTTGCAGCACAGAATCATGTCCTCCATCAGAGTCCTAACGTATAAGAGCTAACAAAATTTTGTCACAGAGCAGTGACTAAGCTTAATTGAACTTTGAGACAACTTTAAGCTGTATGATTTATCAGTACCATATTATTTTAATGACCTTTTGGCTTTTTTTAACTGCATGCATCAGTGCTCAGATTCTTGTAAATTTTAACTCATTTTTCACCTAAAAGGCACTGTATGAATTTTTTTTTTTACAACAATCATGATATATTCCCTCCTGTATTCTTTTTGACTGCTGGTTTTGTCAAAAAAAACCTGATGATTACTTGTATTTTTTTCCTTCCTTCTTCATGGGTCAGTAGTCTTTTAGATGAAGTTAGGTTAACCAGATGATTAAGTCTATAGCTTGTCATATCTGTAACTTTCCAGACAACTATTTTAATTTTGAAAGATCTTTCTCATAAGACAATATCAAAAAGAAAAAAATATCTTGAATTAGACTGTAGGAAAGTGTTCAAATATCCGTTAAAGCACAAGGTAGATGACCATTAAAAACCACCACCACTCTGTGAGTGTTTTTTAAGTTTCTTGTTTCTTCCTATTAAAAAAAAAAAAAAAAGGAGTAAATGAGTCTGAAAAAGAAGCAACATTTTAGTCAAAAACTGCCCAATGATTTATTCAGTTCAGTCTTCCAAGAGGGTGATCTCTGATCTTCTTAATCTGGATCCAGAAATCAACATGCAAGAGGAGTTGGACTAGGTACTCTGTGTGCTAGTATTTAATTTCTTTTGTGTGCTGTTTGTTAGGCTAAAATAACCAGCATAATACATGATAGCTGTCCAGATTGTTATATTTTACATCTTTTTTGAAAGGCAGCTTTCGCAGCTGTTTATTTCCAGTCCATGGCTTTTCAGAAACAATTGTTAAGTCATTTAGTAAACTCATCAGTTAATTTCCACAGATGCATATCATCTGGATTTACTGATTTGCATAGATTTTAAATTTTCCGTACCGGACCTTTTTTTTTTTCCAAACATATAAAAACCTCCCACAACATGTTGTAGCAACAAGAGACATTTTTCAGAAGTGCCTTTGTCCCACTTTGAAAAAGGATTTCTCAAAAGTTTGTCTTCCATTTTCCATGGGATTAATTGATTATTTAGGAAGAATTAAGGTGGGCAAAATTAGGGTATACTTGTGGACGTATCTTTGTGATGACCAGAATAAATGCAACAAATTGGATATCAAAACAGCTTCTGTCCTGATTTGGCTTCCTTCAAAATGTTATCTAGGATTACAGCTAGTTTTTTTGCTCTTCCTTTTGGTGAAGGCAAAGAGTTGCAGAAATAAACAGTATTTAATGTTGTCTCAACTAATTCCATTAAGACTAATACAGGTGTAAATACAAGTATATGTAAATGCAGTGAGGGATTGAACCTTTCGCTGAAGCAGAAGATGGGAGGTCCTGTGGGCAGCTCTGGAGTTTAAGCGCAGATCACATTTAACACTTCTAATCTCCTGTTCGCTGGTTTCTGGATCATGAATTTGTCCTCTGTATTATTTAGGGAGGCAGTTGATGAGGTACATTCAGCTGTATTTGTCATACACCAGATGTCAGGGTAGTTAAAGTCATTCATGCTTCCTCTGATTTTAAGCTCCTCAGCAGTTGGTCTGGGATAGTTTACACATGCACACACATGCACGCGCACACACACATGCACTTGTTTCCAAACTACAATGTAGGCAATGTATCCTATATATTTATATGATTTCCCATATCACCCATTCCTAGTGCTTGGCCGCAATCGTGCTGGACAATACCCATGTTTTTAACTGAACAGCTCCAGGTTATCATCACTAGAAATCACAAGTTTTGTGAGTGTATTTTGCCCTCTGTGCTATTCCTTACCATCCCTTTGCCCTTTCTCCCCTGCCACCAGTGACACCTGCTCCCCACAGACATATTTGTAAAAGCCATTCTAGCAGATCTGAATGCCTTTTAAGTATAATGGAGTATCAGTGGGTTTGGTGATGGCTCTGAACCCAAACTGCACGTCTCAGATGTGCTGTATACCACTTACAAGGTTTCAGATGTGCTCATTGGTTCATTCTCCTCCTTTGTCCTTAATTTTTCTCTGTCCAGACAGTAGATAATTCTCACATGCGGTGCTTACAAGAGCCACTGCTCATTTTTGTATGCTGCTAAACAACTGGCGAATGCAGCAGTGACCACATTTCAGCAGTGGGTGAAATGAAGCCTCTGCCGTATGGTCTGCAAGGATCCTTCATAGTGGGGGATGCTCAGCAGGTGTGGTCTATAATTTACTGCCACCTAAACCTGCATTTTGACAAATGAGTGATATTTGGCAAAGAAAACCCCAACATGTTGGGATTTGGGGAAAACAAACAAAAAACCAAAAAAGACACAAAAACCCACCCCAAACCCACTCGTTCTTTGCAAGCAAAAAATGTGCAAGCACTTTTTTTTTTTTAATTTTATTTTGAGGAAAGGATTTTTTATTTTTACAGACCTGAATGTACCTTTTTGCCTTTTTCAACTCACTTAACATATCCAACTTTCTGTCCCCTTGTCAGGCCACCTGTAGAAGACAGCCAGACCCTGCTGACGCCAGTGGTGAGCTGTGGCCCGCCCGGAGCTCTGCTAACCCGGCCAGTCATTTTGACCATGCACCACTGCGCAGAACCAAACACGGAGGACTGGCAGATCCAGCTGAAACACCAGGCTGCCCAGGGCCTGTGGGAGGTGAGGCTCCAGAGCTCCAGCCTGGGTGCTGACTGTGTGCCGGGCTCTCTGCTGATCCTTCAGGGGCCTTTCCAAACCAGGATGTCTGTATTTTGGGTTTTCCATGTGAGATGGATGGCTGCTGCGGACAGGCAGGAGTGCACCAGGTAGCTAAGCTGCCTGGTGCCTGTACAGAGGTGCCGTTTTGGGGCAGTTTGGTGCCTCCTCATTCTGTCTTTTTTCCATGAAATAGCCTTCATCGCAGGATTTTGACACTTGAGCTTTCGGTTGTAGCAGGGTATTGTCCCGACGTCATAGGAAGAAAAAAGGCAAAGTAAAAAACAGTGGCTGAAAATAATTTCTGACTCAATTCTAGAAATAAGAAAATGTTTTTTATGGAGTAGTTTGAACTCCCCTAGTTTGTAGTCTGTTTTCAAGAAAGTGAAAATAATGCTGCAAATGAGCGCCTGCGTCAGCATCAAGGCATCAGCCAGCTTAATAAAATTTATAGGTCTTCATTTTCTTTTCTTTTTATCTTCTAACATGTTGGTTTGATTCAGTTCATGCAGTCGAGATCCAACTCTGCACCCTGTTAACTGGGGAGCTGCAAAAGCGTTGCTGGGCAGAGCAGGCTTAGTGGGAGCCTGGGGTGGTTCCTTGCCAGTAATGTAGCGGGAGGATGCCTGGGGCAGGATGGCAAAATGATCTTCCACTGCAGCTGGAGCATGAAGTGATGCTAGCAGCAAGGCTGGGCCATCCTGGCAGAGCCTTCCTCTCCAGCTCTGTCCTCCTAGGTACCTGCTGCCACCAGGTTGGTCTCACATAATTAATTTGGCAAGGGCACTTTCTCCTACCGGTAGGTTTAATGAGGGCAGGGTGGCTTTTGAGGGCAGTAGGACTGACAGTAGCAGGAGCGCTGTGTCCAGTATTGTCTTCTAAAGGCTCTTGCTTTTGTTCCCTACCTGTGGCACCAGCTTTTCCTCATGCTGGGAGGGAGTGTGCAGTGAACACGGACCTGTCTCGCCAACTAATCTGCACCCCACCGGCCTAACTCTTGGCACCACACATATGTTCCTTATTTCTGTCTGTGTGTTACTGACACCTCTTTATTTTCTCCCCTGTCCTCCTCCTGCCCTTGACAGAGCGGTTGCTCTACCAGCCACACACACACCCTGGTGCCAGCGCAGCCTCCACAGCATCCACGGGGCCCCTGGCCATCGCACCACCATCTTCTTCCTCTGCTCAATTCTGGAGCAGTTCCTCCAAGCTGAGCCCCATGTGTGCACACACACGTGCACGCACACATGTGCATACACACACGTGCATGGGCACACAGCCCTGCCGCAGCGGGGTGCAGACAACGCTGCAGCACCTTGCCCTCCAGAAGGATTGTGCCGCCCCTGCACATTTGCCTTTCCCAAGACTGAAAGCTGGGAAGGCCCAAGCTGAACACCAAGTTCCAGTTGAGCCCACACTGCTCAGCTGCCAGATGTGTATGTTGTGCTGCAGAGCTGTAGGCTGTGGAGGTGGCACAGATGAGTTGTGCTGAGCATCATGTGGCATGTGGTGGCTTTGCAAGAGGCAGCCATCATCCACTGCTGCCTTTTTGCTTCTGTTCTCTCTCAAAGCCATTCAAAGCACCTTGTGTTGTGTGCAGAATGTTACACACAGGGTTGAATGGAGAAGTTAGCAGGGGAGCTGTTTTCCTTTACGCACAGGGTGGGGAGGTTGTCTGCATTCAGGCTGTATGTATTTTTTTTCTTCATCCTGCAGTCTCATCACAGAGGATTATTCCAACAAAGCAGCAGGTGATATTTCGTGTAGATGTAGCACTCAGCCATCATAGAGGTTACTTCCCCTCCTTGAGTTTTTAGGACTCCCTATTGTCATGCTGAGAAAGTGAAGGGCAGTTATTTCTTCAACATGCCTGTGATGACCGATGTTAAATCATGGTCACCAAATTATTAGTTCTGCAACATCTTTTTTAATAAAGTATTGGTGATATTTTCATTATTTGCTTAACTCTGCCCAGGGCTTTAAAAGCTGTGGCAGAGTCCAGAGGAAAGAGTAACAAGTCTTAGAGGAGTGGAGGTTTCTACCACCATTATCACCATGAGCACACCAGAAAAACCATCCTTTCCCTGTGCCTAAGCAAGAGAAAAGCTGCAAGCAGGAATTTTAAATCTTGATTAATCTCAGGTACAAACAGCAAGGACTTTCTGCATCATCCAGGCTTGAAAGGGGCATTACTGTCTCAAAGGAGAGCAGCTCTGATCAGGAGCTCTAACTTGGCCTCTTTCTCCCTTAGGATGTGGTGGTGGTTGGGGAGGAAAACTTCACCACTCCATGCTATATCCAGCTGGACCCAGAGGCCTGCCATATCCTGACAGAAACCCTCAGCACGTATGCCTTGGTGGGACAGTCAGTCACAAAAGCAGCAGCCAAACGTCTCAAACTGGCCATCTTTGGACCACTGTCCTGCTCTTCACTGGAGTACAGCATCCGGGTCTACTGCCTCGATGACACGCAGGATGCCCTTAAGGTGATTGTTGCTCTCTCACATGCTTTCCCTTTCCCTCTCCAGCTCTCACAGGACTGCAGTCATAGTGGTGACTAGACCCTCTGCTCCGTGTATTCCTGTTCCCTGGGTTATTTTTCCACTTAAAAGGTCAACAAGCTGCTGTTTTACAGTTTAACCCCCACACACTATGAATTGTCCTTTGCATAGCTATCTCATGCTATTTTCTGCCCACCAGTCTTTTTTCTTCTGTTTACCTGTATCATATCCTGGATTCTAAGATTTTTGCATTATTAAAAGGTAAAGGTACATGGGGCTTCATTCGTTATTCATGTATTTTTAATGCTAAGTGCCAGCTCCCCGGAGATGGGGAAACATACAAATGCTGCTTTGTAAATAGTTGATAATGATAAAAGAAGCTTCTGGGCTGTTAATCACGGCCTGCTTTCATACTGGTTTGTTACACCTCTTCACGTGCAGCTTTTTGTGTTGGGAATTCACAAGTAAAATAAACCAAAGCTGTTGCTATCTCTCACTATATCTCACTGCATAATTCTGGCATGCACACAGACACTCACTGCATACAGATGAGCAGATAGGTAACTTGCTATTTCTCTTTATAAATACCTGTTTTTATACAGATGGTATCTATAATAGATGCACTTGTGAAATACATAGCTCCAACTGCACATGTAAGAATGGAGGTTATTAAAAAGTGGGCTTTTTTTCTTCAGTCACAGCCCATGCAGCTTCACAAATGCCTCTTTACAGCAAGATGAGCTCAAAGCCTGACTCTAAGTAGGGTTATTCTGGTGCTGTGTATGCTTTTGTTTTCTCAGCCTAGCGTGGGAATTGTTGGGATTCAGACCCACATTCACTGGCTGGGAGATGTTTGTGTTTTTCAGAGCAGTGACTTCCATCACTGCAAATGACGCACTCCGTTTTCCTCCCCCGTACTACCTGATACCAAGGCCTGCCTGCCTAGGCTTTGCTGGGGGGATACTCTTTCTACTATATGTAAGAAAGGCAGTAAAGTACAAGAGTTGAAGCAGTCATATCTTGACTTCAAAATGGTTTTGTCTGTAGAGGGCCTGGGAGCTTGGCCTCTGTCAATGCGTTGGTGTTACCGGAATTTTAGAAACAATTATTTTCCCTGGTCTGATTTCCCTTTTGTTTTTCCTTTTTTAAAAAAGTGAAAAGGATCTTTTGTAGCGATCAAGCTTCAAAAGTCCTGATGGTTTTATGCCTGTGCTGCATAATACAATTTTCCAAGGGTTTGTCAGGGCCTGAGGTAATAAGTGACTCGGAGACGCCTTGGACAGCAGCTAATGCAGTCAGAGCCAGGGGAATCCAATTAGGTGTTACTCAAGAGATGTTGGTTTGTTTCTAATAGACTGTAAGGAGTGTTGCAAGGTAAAGCTAATCCAATTCGGTATGATAGCAGAAGGGATCAGGAGAGGCACTGTGCAACATGGAGGGACTATCTTTCACCTGAGAAGCTGCAGCCAGGGTTTGGGAGGGGAGCAGGCCAGTCCTTGGGCTTCTGCTGCAGATAGAGCCCAAGGCGAGCTTGTAATTTGGTGAGGAAAGGTAAGCACAGTTGGGTGGCCACTGTTCTGTTCTGTTCATAACTACTGCTTGTTTACAGCAAAGTAAGTGCCTTTTAATTTTCTTCTTTTTTGGCACATCTACACCAAGACTGGAAGGCCACCCATGGGGTTCAAGACCCAGCTAGCTACTAGTTTACAGGAGGACAAGCACATGTACTTGCTGGCCACAAACTCTTATGAATATATCAATTTCACTTTTCTGGAAATTAAAGGTCTGGAAAGGAGAAAGTTTAAGAAAAAAGAACCTAGTAAACTAGCTGTAAATTAAAGGGTTGAGCACGGACTGGTCTGTATGGACCAGTGTGTACAAGCCAGCCCTGTGCAATGGTGTTGTACAATCTATGACTATTGAGAAAGAAAAAACGGTTGAAGTGTTTGGTGCATGTTTTCACAACAGCTGGCACCGCAGCAGCCTTGGCCGTGCCAGGGGAAGGGCCTTGGCACTGCCCTATTGCCACAGGGAAGGTATTCAGCAGTCAATGACCCCTGGCTGTGTCGGACAAGGCGTGCAGACGGGGCTGGGACAGTGGGTCCTGAGGTTAAAAATAATTTGGAGAGGGTGGGAAAGTTGTAGGCAGCAAGCGAGGCACCAGCTGTACCATCTTGGTGTCTTGGGGCTGGCTGCTCCAGGCAAGGCACAGCAAGGGGAGGGGAGAGCAGCATGAAATGTTCCCCCACATTGGGATGTCTGAGGTTTGGAGGAGCCTTTGTAGGGGATTGTGTGTTTATTTGAATAGGTGACTGTATGCATTCTGTTATTATTTACAACTAGGAATGAGTGTGCCATATGCTGAATGTGTCCTAACAGCCACCAAAGGAAGACAAGCGGTTGCAGTATAAAACACAGAGCTGTATTTATCCAGCAGGCTTTTCCTCTCATCATGCAGAGTAAGCGCTCGCTGCCGAACTGCTGGTGCCTGCAGTACAGTAGGGAAGTGTAATGACTTGTCATCAATAAGGGCTCAGTTATTGTGGGAGTGGCTTGGCAGGGTTCCTGGGGCTGGGGAGCAGCGGGCTCAGCACTGATCACACGTGCAGCATCCTTTGCCCCGCATGGTCCAGAGCCACCCAGATGGGATGCTCACAAAAACACATTTTGGGCATGGGCGAGGGTAGCGGTGACCTTGAGCACTTGCCTTTTTTGAAGGCTGATTTTTGCACTTAGAGGGGGATTCCTGAAGTCCTGCTGTAAAAAAAAAAAAAAAAAGAGAGAAAGTAATAATACCATAACTATAAAGAGATCCTGCTGCTTTATTCTCCTTTATTCACGTATGGCTGTGACACTGAGGTACGTGAGCTGCCCATGGCAGTGTAGCAGTGGCTGAGCAGCCTGGCACACTGGAGGTGGGTGAATGATTTCAGGCTGTAGCAGGGTGGCATCCCCAACCTGCCTTGTGCTGCACAGTACCTGTCCTCCAAAAGAAAGGAAAAATACATAACAGGCATGGGATCTTCTCTGGGTTATTTAATGCATATTTCTCCCTCTAACGGAGAAAGGCAACAGCTTACACTAATCACTGTTGCTTGTTTCTGCCCCATTAATAGGGGCAGGAAGTGGCCTCAAGTTGTGCCAAAGGAAGTTTAGATTAGCTATTAGTAAGACTTTCTTCACTGAAAGGATTGTCAGGCATTGGAAAAGGTTGCCCAGGGCAGTGGTGGAGTCCTCGTCCCTGGAGGTATTTAAGAGTCATCTAGACATAGGGCTTAGGGACATGGTTTAGTCAGTGACTTGTCGGTGTGAGGTTAATGATTGAACTCGATGATCCTAAAGGTCTTTTCCAATCTAGGCAGTTCTGCGATTCTGATTCTGTAATGAAGAAACCTGTTCTGAATACAGTGTCCTGGTGGCACTGATGATGGAGCAATGCATTATGCGGCTCCTTCTCCTAAGAGGGGTGGAAGGGCCTAAGCACCAGCTCACAGAGGTGGTGAGAAGCGATGGGGAGAGTGGCCAGAGCCACCTTTACAGGGGACAAGCAATGCACAGCTCAGGTCTCGGCTCAGGAGGGCACAGAGGCACCAGCCAGCAGGATAAGCACTGCTCTAAATAAAATGTCATGTGACTAGAGCCAGCCTGCAGGTCTGAAGAGCTGTGGGAGTGGATGGCTCTGGATTAATTCTGAATGAATTAGCTGAGCAGCATGGGAGAAGCAGGAGCTGCTCATTATCCTCCAGTTGGAGCATGTAGAGGGGCTAAGGTGAACAAGGGTGGTTACCAAAAGTGGGATATTGAAGCTAGACACCAAGATCTGGTGGGTGGGATGGTGTAGTGTCACGCTGCAATGTTTCCCCCCCCTGTAGCGTGGCTCCCAGGGCTGGTGCTGGAGGGACAGGAGTGGTCCTTCACCCCTGCACCCCATGTGCCTGAGAGGTAGTGCCTGCAATTAGCTCGCGCAGTGCTGGGAGCCATCTCCTGGCCCTTCCAGGGTAATTTGGAGGTAATGAAGATCTATAGTAATCAGATAATTACTATCTATCGATTGCTCTTTAGACATCTTGACGAGGTAATTAGGGGGCACTGGAAAGAAGCTGGAACTGATTCATTGGCATAAACTTAATCTAAAAGGTTTCCTGATTTTGTTTCTTTTCCTCTAATGGCTGAATAAACAAACATCATTTTAGCTTCAGGATCTGCCAAGTACTTGGCTCGCCAGGGACAGGGGATTTTGTTTTATGCTAACTAGATCCTGAAAGTGATCAAGAGTAGTTTGCTTTGCACTTACCTAAATTACAGGCTCCTTTAGTTGGCCTGGGGTAGCATCCTGGTTTCATGTGTCCACATACTCCTTGAGCATGCTCACTCTGTACGTGATTGGGTTTGGCCACGTTAGACTGGTGATTGGTTAGTTCTTGCAATTAAATATGACTGAATTTGGCTGTGTTGGTTTCTAATGGGGCTCATGTAGGTGCCTTTGTACTTGCTTCTTCGTGTGGGCTACAGTTAGGCTGTTTGTAGGCAATGGTCCACTGTGGTCTCATCAATTAAAGGTGTATATTTGTTTTTAGCTGCAGAAAATGACCAGACTCTTGGCTTCCTAGCTTTCAATTACAAGATCAGTATTTCAGTAACCCTGAACCTATGCATTCATATGTACAAAATGCTCCGTCACAGTGTCTAACTTTTGTTTTGATACCATCCCACTTAACGCTCAGTCTCAAAGGAGGCATCTGTTATCTCCTGTACCACTCTGTCACAGAGCAGTTTGTCAGGAGGCTACAAGCTGAAGGACCAGCAGTACGCACAGCTCCCATATCAGCAGGACCTATGCAAATGAGAGCTTCCAAAAAGCAAAATAGTAATGCTATCATTAGATGTCCCGTTTGGTGAGCAATAGAGCAGACTGATGTATTTCTGTATTCAGTGTCTGTATGCAAAGTCTTTGTGTTCAATATAATTGCATGCAATTAAGCTTGCTGCTCATAGGACGTGTCAGATAACGGTGTGGCTCCCAAAGGATACATGGGTGCCTGCATCCCTGCTGGGCTGCTGCTGTATGATGAGGGCAAGGGAGTTATACTCAGATCCACTAGTGCAATTCAGGTTCACAAGGAAACACAACTCTGTATTTTTTCTGTATTACACAAGTTTCAGCATCTATGGGAGTCGATCTTGAGGAATCTGAAGACCAGTGTGCTGTCTTGATGAAACCTGACTACTTTCTTCTTGCTTTCGCAATACTGCAGGAGGTCCTCCAGCTCGAGCAGCAGATGGGTGGGCAGCTTTTGGAGGAACCCAAAGCTTTGCATTTTAAGGGAAGCACCCACAACCTCCGCCTGTCCATCCATGACATTGCCCACTCTCTTTGGAAGAGCAAACTGCTGGCTAAATATCAGGTGAGCATCACAAACCATTCATATTGGATCCTAGCAGTGAGGCTTAAAGAAATGCAATGACTCAAGGAGGTATTGTAAATACACCAAGTGCCAAACTGCAGTGCCAAGGACATTTTTCCCTTGAACCATTTGCTGCGGCAATAGCATGGAGCCCACAGTCTCTGGTCATATAGCATCTGCACCCTGATCCTGCATCCCTCCCTGACTATACTTTTTTTTTTGGCTTTCCTGCTGCAGGAGATTCCCTTTTACCACATCTGGAGTGGATGCCAGAGGAACCTGCACTGCACCTTCATGCTGGAAAGGTTCAGCCTGAATACCCTGGAGCTGGTATGCAAACTCTGCGTGCGGCAGGTCGAAGGAGAAGGGCAGATCTTCCAGCTCAACTGCTCTGTCTCAGAGGTAAAGGAATCAGTGCACTTCTCTATCTGACTGCAGGAACATGGGAGGGCTAAAGAGATACATCCTTTCCCATTGCTACCTGTTTAGTGCTTTCCATTTTCCTCCTGATTGCTGGGATGGACATAAGGGATGGATTAAGTCATTACTTTGTATCTCCTGTTGCATTTTCCCTTAGTTTCTCTCATGTAGAAGGAAGCATCCCCCCCTTTAAGGGAGGGAGGACAGCAGCTATCATCATGCTGCTAGTGATGCCTTTCTGTGTCTTTGTAGAGGAGCTCTTGGCCTACCACTCCATAATACATCTCACAAAGCACTGCATGGTCCTGTTTCCTGGCAGTCCACAAGCACACCGTGCCCAACATTTCCCTGGAGAGAGAGGAAGGACAATAGGAAAATGTCATTGCTTATGCTTGTATGAGCCACTCTAATCCCACGTAGAAACTTCTGTGCAATAGGAATATCAATGGTCTAGTTGCAATAGACTTCTCTCCTCAGATTTTGCTGCCACTACAAATCCTGATTATTATCTTTGACATTTTTTCTGTTGATGGCTGACATTTTCCAGTAGAAAAATGATCATAAGTTTTGGAACATTTTTGCTGATGCTGTATAGCACCTAGAGAATTTTCACTCCTTGGGGCAGTCAAGCCTAGAGCTGAGACCAAGTGACATGTTCGAGCGTGAAGTGTCATTGAGTTCAGTGAACATGCTGGTGCCCTTGGAGGCTATGAAGAGCAGGCTTTTGGGCTGCAGTCGCTGCTGGCTGACTTGTGGAAGGGCTGGGAGACCACAGACAAAAGTTACTTATGCTGTAGGACCCTGATGGTGTGCATCATTACCCATAACATCTGCTTGGTTATGGGTAAAGTTACATATTCAGCTGGGGACTAGACAGCATTAAAGACAGATGGTGAAACAAGTATCGTAAACAATTATTGTAATAAGTGCTGCATTGAGGTAATCTCTAATTTAACCTCACAGAGAAGAGAAAGAACTGAAAGTAACTTTAATGAAATGCAAGTATACACTATAATCATCTTCAGCTGCTTGTATGTAATAGGGTCTGGTAATAGATTCAGAGGGAACAGAATAATATTCTTGTGCTGCGATCCCATCCATCAGAGATGAATAGAGGGAGTGAATAATTCTGCCGTTATCAAGGCTGCCTACTGCAAAATTGCTCCTCGTGGTTGACATCTCATGATGCTCTCAAGCCTCAGGAGGAGCAGGAGGACCTTAGGCTGCTAAGAGCTGGCTTACAGGATTGTGTCAATGAGAAAAAACACCCTATAACTCTAAACGGTTTGATGACAAAAGTCACCTGGAAGTGTAATAACAGCAACCTAGAAATCGAAGTGTATGCCTCTAGAGGTGTGATAAAGACAGCAGACCAGGCATCAAGAAACCTTAGCTGTGGTTCCTCACATTTTCTTCTGTGGTTAGGCTGGTGGTATCCAGCTAGTGGTTAGTCATTGCTCAACCATGCTGGTGCCTTTCTTTATTGCTGGATCTGCTTCTGTCACCCTGCGTTAAAAATATAGTACCACAATTTTCTGTGTCCTCCCTTTATGGGGTTTCATTTTTGTCCCCTGTAAAGGATGTAAAACTTCTGCAGATTAAGCTGTCTTATTCTGGCTTTGTACAGTGTCTTCTGCTGGGACTTCAAAAATATAAATGCAATGAGTGCTGAAACATGCATGATTGCAAGGCAAGAGGAAAACTGTGATAAAGGTCTCCCACTGTTTGTTTTTGAAGCCCTCTTTTTATCTCACGCTGTTGATACTCACCTGAAAGAGCCCCAGGGCACTGTCACGGATGCCTGGGCTCCTTCTGCAGCAATCCTGATGCAGCTGGTGCAGCAGGCCACCTCAAGAGCTAGAGTAATGCTGCCTCAGTGTGCTGCTTGTGTCACTTGGCCCAGAATACAAAGGGAAAGTTGTCCATCTGTGATGCCACCAGTCATCACCCTACAGCCTCTTCTTACCTGCCAGCACAGATGAGCCTGCAGGCAGCAGTGGTGGCATGTGGGTCCTTCTTCTGGCTCCCAGGCAGCCCCCGCTGCCAGGCAGTCAAAGGACAGGAGCCCAATGCCTGAAGCTGTGGGGCTGGGGCAGCCGGTCTACGATGCAGGGCGTTGGCACCCAAGCAGGGATGCTGCATTTAGCACTGCTTTGGGCATGTTAACTGAGGACATTACAGTGTGGCATAAACCTTTCTTGGTTAAAAACTTCAGTGATTGCCCAAAATGCCATTTCTTAAAAAAAAAAAAAAAAAGGCATATTTGCAGAGTGGAAGATAATTAATTGGTGTGGATAAAGGAGTGGAGGCAAAAGAGGTTTAATTCTGTTCATGGCTGATGGGTACTGACTCTCCCCTTTCCATCTCTGCATACATTTTTTGTGGGGAAACCAAAGACTGCACATGATTCTTAGCATCTCCAACAAGACTCCTAGGTGATTTGCGATGGCAGCTTAAGTCAGGTGTTACCTGGTTTTGAGATGGTTTCAGGTTTTACAGGGCCTTCCCAATTAGCCAGCTTGACACATAGCAACAAGACAGTTCAAGAAGGAGAAAGCAAATTGACATTTAACAATGACTTTTGCATGGGTGTTTCTGGCTGCCTGGGGCTGTGACTTGGGCAGAGGTGGAGATGAAGCAGCTCCCCCATATCTGCCAGCTTGGCCTCAGGCCTGTCATGCTGCAAAGGAGAGCAATTGAGAAGACAGGTGAGAGGCAGGAAAGGAGACCCAGCCCTGCTTCCTGCTTTTCCTGTCATGTGTGTGCTTTGGTAGCTGGAGGTGACAAGTGCTGCGTGTGGAAGGAGCATCCCCGCTGCATGGTCAGGCAGCCAGTCAGCGTCGGTGGGGTTTGGTGGGACTTTCAGATGCCCTGCAGGACCTTGTCATTGCGAAGCAAACTCAACCATCCATATTAACCAACCACCCTTGTCCTACCAGCTACAGAGCCCCTCTTTCTGCCTACTTGTGGATGCTAAATCCTTCCCAGCCAAGGAAGAGATAAAATCCTTGCCCAGAAGAGCCAACCGCTTGTTATTCCCAGCAGAGCTACATTACAGCTGTGTCATGGGGAGCCTCCCAGCTGGGAGGACCACATCAAAGAGCATCAACCCCATATCTGCAGGGGACAGGCCTACCAGCTACAGAGCCCCTCTTTCTGCCTACTTGTGGATGCTAAATCCTTCCCAGCCAAGGAAGAGATAAAATCCTTGCCCAGAAGAGCCAACCGCTTGTTATTCCCAGCAGAGCTACATTACAGCTGTGTCATGGGGAGCCTCCCAGCTGGGAGGACCACATCAAAGAGCATCAACCCCATATCTGCAGGGGACAGGCTAGCTTTGGAAGTGACTTTCCCCTTGACACACTGCTGCCACTGCCTTTAAGCGCAGTGCTGGTCTTGAGGAGGAGGCAACGACCACCCCCAAGCACATGTTCCATCTATTTCCAGCACAGGGTCAAAGCCGCATGAAAATAAGGGATCAGCTTGTGCGTGGGGTGATATTAATAATCTCTCTGTGGTCTGCCCAGCATCAGAGGCTTCAGAGAGCACGGGTGCTGCCAAAGGGATGTCAGCAGTGTGAGCCTGGTGCTGGCTCCATGTGGGGTGGGGGGGCTTGGGGAGTCTACCAAGAAGTGGCTCCTGCCAGCCAAGCCAGGAAAGCCCTGTTCTACCCTAGTAGTAGAAATTTGCTCTGAAATGTGCCTGATCTTTCATTACTTCCAGTAAGTGATTAATTATGCTGAGCTCAATTTTGTCCAGCTGTAGTAATCTTCACCCTCAAAAAAAAAAAGAGGGAAAAAGAAAAGCTGCTGTCTACCCAAAGTCAGTTATAAATTCTTCTCTTTTTCAGCTGACTAACATAAATGCTTGATTAACAAAGGGAGCCCCTCTAATGCAAGTAAAAGCACCGAGTCTCAGAGGATACACTTCTACCATCGTCTCTGCACTCAGTAACAAAACTGCTGTATTTATTTATTTATTTATTTTGCTTTCTTTCCAACTTCAGGAACCTACTGGCATTGATTATCCTCCTATAGACTCAGCAGGCACCATCACCACCATCGTAGGCCCCAGTGCTTTCAGCATCCCCCTTCCAATAAGACAGAAGCTGTGCAGCAGCCTGGACGCTCCCCAGACCAGGGGCCATGACTGGCGGATGCTGGCCCACAAGCTGAAACTGGACAGGTGAGCAGGGCTGCCCACGCGCGGTCAGGCAGCAGATCCCTGTGGGAGGTATGTGCAAAAGGGTTCTGGTGAAGATGAGGGACAGCAGATGTGTTTACAGACTGGTCAGACTGACCATAGGATTGTTCAGGAGATGAGCACCTTGACAGCACCAGCAGTGGGGCTGGGCTGAAGTCATATAAATTCAGGTAGCCTTTATGCAGCTCAAAAAACAAGTTTCCTTTTGGCTTGTTGCAGGTACCTAAATTATTTTGCTACAAAATCGAGTCCCACCGGGGTGATCCTGGATCTCTGGGAAGCCCAGAATTTCCCTGATGGCAACCTGAGCATGCTGGCAGCAGTTCTTGAAGAAATGGGAAGACATGAAACCGTTGTTTCTTTGGCAGCAGAAGGAAATTACTGATGCAGCCTTGGCATGAACAGGAAGGACAGACACAGGGAGCAGTAATGCCCTGTTATTACAAACGAGAATTTAAATGAAAACCCAGACCAATGAGTTACACAAGAGACATTTCAGAGAAGGAAGCAAGCAAACAAACAAACAAAAAAACCAGCCCTGACCTTCACACGTGCTCTCCTTGTACATTATCACAGGATCTAAAAGAAACCATGCAAAGTTGTACCTTGAAAATACAAATCAACCTAATGTTCCTCTCGGCTTGGCTGTACACTGCTTGGTACAGGATTTTACAGTTTCCTAGGAAACGCTTTTTATTGCTATCCAGATATATGGATAAACTTTCTTAACAATCCCAGTTTCTATGGATGTTGTTTACATCAAATTCTGGACAGGGGTAAAGAGACTGTCCATGGCTCTTTATATTTTTTGTTTAAAGCCATTCTAGACAAGGCTATGGACAGTTGGTTGTGGCTATTTCAGCTTATTGGTTTCTGGAGAATTCAGATTTTGGCTACAATTCTACACATTGATTGTCTCACAGTGATCCTCCTGTCATTGTTCTGTTTCCTAGACTGACTTGTAAAAAACAAAACCAAAACCAAACAAGAAAATCAGAGTTTAAGAGGTGTGCATCTGGAAAGCAGGTACTCTGGGTGCTAAGCAGGAACACATGTAACATCCCTGGCCTCCCCCGATTGAGAGTCCCACTGAGTCTGTGTGGAGAAGTAGGACAGTGGGGAATGTAGGATCAGAGTTAATTTTCAATTCATAATATAACAGCACCCTTTCCACCCCTTTGTCATATGAGCATGCCAGATATGCAGTTCAGAGTGGTTAGGGAGGAAAAAAAAAACCCAGAAAAAAAAGTAAAAAAGAGAAGTTGCTATGATAATTATTTACTAATTAGTATCTAGTGCAAGGATTATTATTATTATTATTATTACCATTATTACTTTATTTTTAATTTTGTCGGCAGCAGAATGAATCATTCCTGTTTTTATAGAACCTGTTGTCCCCTTCCTGAAGGTCTTCTAAGACATGTCGCTCTATATGCTGGCTATCCTTCCCTTCTCCAGCCATTGTACTCCTCTGAAGTTCTCTGCTAGCCCACATAGGTTGCTCACCTTGCGTTAGCATTGCTGTGCTTCATGCACAATGCAAAGGTGGTATAAAGTGGTGATGCTCCGCTGAAGTCACTGATCCAACCCAGCACCCCTCCCTGGGGTGTTTTGCACCACCTTGGTGCCTCCAGGTTTCTCCAAGAAGCAATCCTGTCCCAAGATGGCTGTGAACCGGTGACCGCCTCCCAGTCCAAATAGACACAGACCACTGGTTCAGGAGCACAGGTGCAAGCATGTGGGGGCACTGATGTTAACCATCTGATCTGTGCATCCAAGGTGGGCCTCCATATATCTTTCTTTGCTTTGAAGTGGTCTGAGAGCCAGCAGTTCCTGTTAGCTTACCATGGAGCTGCAGGTATTCACTCTTTCTAAAACTCACTGCCTCCTGTAATGTTTATGGTGGACGGGGCTACTGAGAGTCCTTTGCTGGGTCATTTCTGAGTGAGGTGCACTTGGCAGATCTCCACAGATACTCCTAGGTTTACTGCAGCCAGGAAAGCCTCTGCTGTGTGGGCCATTGTAGGGTAATGGAGTGGTAAAGTCGAAATCCCATGTACTGCAGTTTGCTGTCTGCGCTGCACTCCCTCTGCCGCCGCTGCCTGGGCAGGGCAGTACAGGTCCTCCCTGGCTGACCAGGGATGTTTGTCTCTCTCAGCCACATCCCCCTTGGCCACCATAAACAGGTGAAGTGGGGACTTGGCAAAAGGAGCAAACTCTTGCCTTTTTTGGTTGTCACTGCAGGTGTATTTTATTTTCTGTGCAGTGAAAAGACTGACTCTTTGGTACATGCCAGTGCATAGGATCGCAGTAGTTTTGCTGCCAGGCTTGTCTGTCTGTCCTCTACTTCTGGTGCAAAAAAGGCTTTCTTCCCCAGCCTGTCCAGTCCAAGTTTCCAGCCAGGCCCTGTGCTGTTGTGCACACATGCATGCCCCTGCCCACACATGTATTCCCACGCCATGTGATTCCCAAGACCACAGTTGGCTTGTTTTGTTTTGTGGTTTTGGTTTTGTTTTTCCCCAAGGCTTTTCAGATTGCACCTTTAAAGGTAACTTTGAAAATGTCATTGGTCAAAATGAAAAGAAAATTTCATCTGACCTTTTTCCCATTTGACATTTCCATAGGCTTGGGACATTTTGTTTTTCTCAGCTCCTTGACACCAGTGAGATTTCGATTGACTGCTGGGCAGTGATTACAAAGTGCTCCCTTCCTCATAAGAGGTAACCCGGGAGTTTGCAAGCCAGCATTTTAGTCAAAAACCGGAGGACATACATACATACATTTTAACTTTCAATATCTGTGTGCATTTTGCTGGTGTAAGCCCCACCTTCTCTGATTTGTGGAGGTGCCAAGAACATCCTTTCAACAGCTGGCCATCTTCTTTTTCACCTTGGGCATCTGATGCAGCCAATAGCAATGCTAATGGAAATCTTGCTTTCAGCTTCAGGAGGCTTAGACTGGAGCTTCCAGCTCCGCTCCTGCATTTTTTTACTAACCTTGGAGCTCTAAAAATGGCTCCTAAAAGGTAGGTCTTGGCTTTTCTCCCTCCCGTGCCATCTTCAGGTGTAACCAGTTGTATTTAGGTTATGCTTCTTCACCCTTCCTGCCAGTCCTTCGTGCGTGACTCCTCTTCCAAGGTGGGTGCATGAGCTGAACTGCCCTTTGGCCTCTTCTGCTCTTCATCTCAGTCTTTGTTAGCTGATGCCCAGGCTCACTGGTACGCCCAGCTCTCAGCTTTTGCAAGGTGGACAGTGTATGCACCCTTCTCACCGGAGCCTTGCCAGAAAGTGTCTTGTAGTTATCTGTATCGCTGTGCACCAGTGCTCCTTTTGCCAGCTCTCTGACCTACTCCCCCGATGCCTCCTTCAAGAAAAACAGATAAGCAACTTTCTTGCAGTATTCTTGGGCTTTTTCCTTTTACAGCACCACTGTAAAGGGGATTTATTGAGAGGAAAAGGCATGCTCTGATTAAGAGGAGCATCCACAGAGGTGGATGGAGGTCAAGAACATCCCTGCCAGCTAGGGCAGCGGCATCACTGTTGCTGGAAGGTGGAGCTGCTCTTCTTCCATCCCAACTGCTCAGAAACCTTCCTTCACCTGCTGCAATCATGGGATGGACAGTTTCTCCAGCCCCTGCTCCATCAGCCTTTGCAGGGTCCCAGTGCAGCACCATGCCAGCTGCCTCAGCCCTGGCAGGACAGGGAGAAGCAGGGGCTGTTGAGGACAAGTTTCCTCCACCTTGTCTCAGCAGCTCTGCACTCGTGCTTTGCCACAGCTGCTTGCAGCAGCTCCCACCTCACCTGACACTCTCCCTGCATTAATTTTGCTCAGTTTTTTTTCTTTTTTTCTGGGCATACAGCAGTGGCAGGGTGTGCAGCTGGGGAGAAGGCTCTGGCATGGGCCAGTGGTATGCACCCCTCAGCATCCCCATCCTACTGCCCCAAGGAGGGAGGGTGGGAAGCAAGGGTGGCCAGATCGGCTCGGGATGGTATTTCTGCTGTAGAGAAAAACCAGCAGCAGTCCCTCCACGTGGCTTGCGTGGACACAGTGCCATCTCGTGTTTCCGGTCCCCGGGCCCAAAGGGCCCCCCGCCGCCACGGCCACCAACATCGCTTGGGAAAAGGCTTTCCCGTGGGGCAGCTCTTGAAAAATGACAAATAACTTTGGCAGACAGAACTGACTCTTAAAAGTTGTTGTAACATTTTATGTCAGGTAAGCACATCTGCTTTTTTTTTTTTTTTTTTTTTTTAAAAAAAAAAGGCTGCAGGCTCCTTATCCTCCAGTTATTACTACTTTTTAAAATGCTTATCCTTTTATCCTTTTAGTTGTCCACCTTCGGCTATGTGCTGTAGCAGGTTTGCTGCTCTTCACTCCATCTCTTCATTACGTGTTGATTGCTAGCGCTATAAATAATACATAT